ACCCAAACCATTCTATGATTAAAAAAGCAAACAGAAGCAGCATTGAAGCTAAGCCAAGGCCACATCCCCCACGTAAGCCAGGGGGACAAGGTAATGCCTGCACAAGCCACCTCAGCAATGCAGCAGGACTTGAGTGGACACAAACTGTGTGGAAACAAGGGGCCAAGACGACAAAACAAAGGAAAATTTGGGAAGCAGATGACAAGGTAAATCCCTAAGGAGTTTTAAGCCAAAATACTTCCCAGCATCGTGGCAGCCTGCTTCTAGCAGGTCTCATTTTCAAAGGAGCAGCTTGCTCCTCAGCCTTTGGCTACCAGATACCATATTACTTCTGTTTCTACATCTTAGCCTCTCAGCTGTCCTCCTAGAATAGGAGGTCATGTTATAAAGGCAGATATATATAGTAAGCACAGGATCCAATTTACAGGACAAAACTGGAGAGCATATTATATGTTGTTAATTTTTAGAAGAGTTATTTCATTAATTAAAAAATACCACTTTGCTAATAAATTAGGTTGAAGTATTTTTAAGAAGATATCCAAAATATTTTTAGAGAAATACAAACATGGATTCCCTTCAGTTCCCAGGTTATTAGCAGACCACGCTCTAGTGCTGTGCACTCCGGAAAGAGCCATAGGATGCAGAAAAAATTCCAACACACACAACCTTCCTTCTGCCCTTGAAGAACAAAATGTTTCTCTTCTGCAGGTGTTTTATTATTGTGCATTCTCACTGTAACTACAGTACTTCAACCCTACAATGCTGCTGCCCAACTGAAGTATTTAACATTTATTATAGACTGTTACAAATGGTGAACATCACAAACATACCCAAAATTTATTTATGCCTCAGTGTTAACCCAAAGTATTAAAAAAGGCCAAAACTTTATCTGTAACCAGCCCAAATGGAAGAGAGCCTGTCTCTGAAAAGCAGGTAGCTTTGAGGCATCTCCATGATGTGGCTGAATGACACACAAAGTGAGGTGGTCATCAGCTTCTGCTGCAACATGTTATAAAGTATCTGATTTACCACCCATCTTTCTGGAAGCCCACAAAGCTATCGTTCACAGTGTCTGTAACACAAGATCTCAATTTTACTGCCTTTTATATAACAGCATGTTTTCAGCCACATTAAACTCTTCTGCTTTAAGGGCTGGTTTCTGGGAAGTCTCCCAAACGTAAGAAAAAACTGCGCTTAATACTGAGATACCAATTCCCTAGGTGCATTGGCAAGCAAGACTGCCTGACATCTTCCCCAGCCTTTTGCCAAGGAATTCTTTTCTCTTGCCCCAGAAATTTATTTTGTGCTTCAGTTCAGCTCACCTGCCATGCTGGACATGTTAACCAGCCTCCCCTGGGATTTCCGAAGTAACGGTAAGAAGGTCTTGGACACGGCTACAGCCCCGAAGAAGTTCACCTCCATGCACTGCCTGTACGTGCTCGCGGGGAGCAGCTCGCCGTCGGCGGGGAAGCCCAGGACGCCCGCGTTGTTCACGACTCCCCAGAGCCCTGGGAAGAGGAGAAAGCACAGGGTTGCTATACAGCAGGAAGTCAACTCCATAAAGATTAAACCGATAAGCTGGATGGTGCCAGGAAAACAAAGCTGAGATTATCTGCAGATACAGATACACAGTACTCACCCCCCATCCTTGACCAGTCTTTACCGTTTTTCATGAAAGAAAGCAGCAGAAGTCAATATCAATACCCTGACTGCCCACAGACCATGGCAGGGACCAACACCCATAAGCCATGACGCAGACGACAGGCAAGAGATGCACCTTGTAAGCAGGTACATTAGCACATCCATTATTACAGGGGAAAAATGCCATACCTGTCTTTTGCACCTTCTCTGAGACTTTTAGATAGGCTTCCTTGACTTGGGTGGCATTGGTTATATCCAGCTGCAGGACAGACAGTCTCTGGGAGCAGCTCTGTCTCAACTCCTCAGCTCCAGGTCCGTCCTTGTGCAAAACCCCAGCAAACACAACAAAACCTAAGCTATCCAGGTATTTAGCCAGCGCATGTCCAATCCCAGTGTCGCTTCCTGAAAGCATCAAAAAAGACACTTGAAAAGTGCATATACCCTAAACATTCATCTAAATAAAAAAACCCAATATTGGGAAGACATTCATATATAACCAAAAAGATGATGAAATGAAGTCACTGAAATACGTACAACAGCAGGAAGAAAGGTTCAGATCTGAAGGTTTGAGGAGCTGGACCTTTACATGTCCAGAGTGACAGACCATGTCCTCTTGGCTCAGAGCTGATGGCATCAGCTCATGCTCTACCACTGACAGATTCTATGACTTACTTCATATGTACAGAGGAAATAAAGCCCCAGACTGGGTTTATACAAATATTCAGTCTGAGACCTGATAACAAGAGTATTTAGGGGAGAAAAAAAAAAAAAAACAACCACACACCAAACCACCACACACAACAGCAAAACAACCAACTGAAAAAACAAGTGAACACAGAGATATTTTGATTTGAAGTCTCAGATGGACAAGGCAATTATAGGGCATTGGAATTCAAAGAAATTGCTGGGTTCTATTAATTCAAATTCTCAATATCAAGTCTTAATTCAAAGAAATAGTGTTATTTGGGTCAAACATTTACCACCTAGATCCTTCTCATAAATGCTTTTTTGTCACAGCCAAAGCTAAGCAACCGTTTCTTTGCCTGCAGAGGAGTTCAGCACTTTCAAACCCCAAGAAAGCTGCAGAATGGTGTTTTCAGGCTAAGCCAAGTAACACCAGCTATTTCATTCACTTGCATCAGGAGTTCTCTTACCCTCTCATTCCCTAACTTTGTCCATATAAAGCACTGAACTACCAAATGCAGGGAGCACCATTAAAGCTCCCACACAACAATGCTCTTTGCAATCGCAATTGTGCAATTCCTCCCACCAGGTAACAAGGATGAATATTTAACAAATAAGTCAATGGATTCACAAGTCTCTTCCTTCGACACAGCATTCTGCTGCCACTACCTTAAGATTCTTTTAAGTGTTTTCTCTCCCAGTGTCTTTTTTAATTCTAGTTTCCATTCTCCCAATCTACAGAGAAACATCCTAGCAAGGGAGAAAACATCTCACCCCTCTGCCCACCAAGACCCCCAATAAGCACACAGGGCTCTACCAGAGACAGGGTTTATAGAGACAGTGCTGCAGGAGTTCTGCAAAGGGGAAATGAGGGGGTTAAGAATTTAATGCAGCTTTTAGACCATAAAGCAGAGAGGTACCAGCATGCCCCATGACTGGGCACCGTAGCAAAGAAAGCTCCTGGATGCTCACGTGCACCACGATCCGTGGCGCTATCCCAGAGCTCAGCTATCTCCTGCAATAGCCATTTATTACATAAATGCTCAGTTTCCAAACCCAATGGCATGGCAGGAAACCTGAATGCGGGGCAAAGGGCGGTGACTTCTGCCAGGTTTTTACTATTTCCTCATTTGTGAAGGAGCTGCCATATTCCCTACTTAATCCAACCAGAAACTTGTAAGGGTTAACCTGTGATTTCAGCAGACAGAGGCAGATCATAGTTATTCACAGGCCTGCTCCTGCACTCAGAATCCATAGTCAATAGATTTGACTGCCAAAGAGACTCAATTATACTAGATCTTCATTTCTGGGTTCTGTCTTTTAACTGAGGCCTTGGGGGGGGGGGGGGGCGGAAATTCCAGGTGACTTGAAACACATAGTAAATGCCTGGCTCAATCAGTGCAAGATGTTGAAAAGAATTACTCATGCTCTACTTAATAAGTTCTTTAAAAAAATGTGTGTTGGCATTTTTGAGGTCTGCAGTTCGTTGAAGATGCACCAGAGCACCACATATATCACACTCGGATTCCTGTAGCCCTGACCTCAAAGAGAAGAGCAAACCTGCATTCTTGAAATTCCCTAAAGAGACATGAAGAGGCCTGCAAATTTCCCAAAGACAGGACAGATCTGGGGGTGGGAGGGTCTTTCCTTCTCTTTTATTAAAAACCCTTATTTCTGGATCAAATCCTTTCCAGCAAGTACACAGCCACAGAGCTGCGTTTTACTTAAATTTTACAACACAGCTTTAACTTGGGAAGGGGCAGAATGCCCAACAACTAGGGATGGGTGTAGCAACCCTGAGAAGGAAATAAAAAGCAGTGTTGCTCTGTGCCTGCTGCTGGGTTTGTCCCCAGCTTTTACCCAAACAAGTCTGATTTGATTTTTAGACCTGTTATTGAAGTCCAGAGAAACTTCACCCTTCACCTCAAAAGTTCAAGCAGTAGTTAGGTCTCTATACTGAAGAAATAGAATATTTCCCTTCCACCTTGCTTCTGTGTCAAAAATAACAATATGTGAATGATTAGAAGAATTATGAGACAGTCAGCACTGACCATAACTGAGAATTTGTCATCAACTCACATTGAGCATCAGCAATGCCAAGTCACACACCAAAAATGAAAAGACCAAGTTCGCTGGAGAAATTCATCCCACTGCACACAGAATAACCAAGGTGAGAGTTTTACAATTCTTGTTACTTTGGATCTTCACAGTAATTTAATTTTCAGGGAAGCTGGCTATTGGATCTACCAAACGACACTGAAGTGTTTGCATGCCCAGGAGCTTCTGTTTAAGGACACTGAAGCACTCACACCCAGCAAGTAGAAATGCCTCACCAATGCCGTCAAGACTGCTCACACATCCACAGTTACTCATGTAAAAAAGCATTTTGCCAAATGGGCACACTTTTCCCTTTATTGCGGCACTCCAGTGAACTGCTTGCTTAAATAAACCACGCACAGCAACACCTGTACGAGAGACATCCAAAGAGGACCAGAACAACGTTTGTCAAAGCCCAGGAGAGAAGCCCAGACAGGAGTCCATCCCCTGGTCAAAGGCAGCTGTCTCACCAGTAGTATGTGGCGGCTGCCCAGAGCACAGCAACATTCTTCAACCCCACAGGGCTGAAGGAGAGGGGGAAAGAAAATAAATCACCATTTCCCATGAAGTGCCTGCCTCGGGTTCTGCCTAACTTGGAGAAAATGACACCAAAATTGATTTAAAGGCACCTTGCACCTGCACCCAGACACCCATCCTGCAGCTGGTAAAGGGAAGATTACTACAATCAGAGCAGTCTAACCAAGAAATGCGTTGAGTGAAACATTCACTTCAGCTGATGGAGCATTTGACTGATTGCATATCAGTCTGGGTTTAAATAAAGACCAAGAAGAGTCTCCTCGGATGTGTCAGCTGTCAGAGGTGTCCAAACTTGCATTTCTTCAGGACAGTTGCAGCACAGGTACAAAGAAAGCACACTGACTTACTGGATTATACCCAAATGTTCTTCACACCCCTATACTGCTCTAACTCCAATTTTCTAGAGCAGGTAAGCTCCGAGAGAGTGCTTACCTGCTCTCAGGAAAGAGTTTCCTGAAAAACTGCAGTCTTACAAAAAAGCAAGAAGATGCCCAAGAACAAATCTTGATCTGCAGGAGTGGGAAAGAAGTGTTCCCTATCCCTCCCGCCTGATAACCATCTTCACTGGATACACCTGCAGGGAGAACCCAGCTGGCAGATAAACCACGAGGGGAGAACGTGCTGCTTGTCTTGTTCTCTCTTAACTTTGGCATGTAATTCCCATCTTAATGCTTGCTAGGCAAATCTAAATTATTTCCAGGTGTCTCTATAAAACAAAATGAAGTTCCACAAGAAATAGCTGTATAAAGAAGGCAACTTAATTCAGCTTTCCAGAGGGGAAAAATGGAAAATAAAACTAAAAGGAGGAAGTTAACAGTGCAAGAAGCCGTCGGCAGGCACTCTGGTTTAAAGATTTGATTAACACAAATAAACATTTAAAGTTTTAGAAGAAACTGGAGAAAACCCATAAAACTAGAAAACTGCTATCCCTGCAAACTACAAGTGGGTTTTGAGTAGATCAGGGAGTTAGTAGAGACTGAATTCATTAGCTCTGAACTTTCACTGCCAGCGAAGGAAATTACTCACCCCCAAATGATTTCGTACATCGTTTGAAAGAGATGGCACCAAAGCGGTGCCTTGAAATATATCCATGATATACACAGTGTGCACTGTGCAAATGCGTGCGCCCAAAGATAACCGTACATCTGTAGCCAGTGCAATAAATCCAAGTAAACAAAAGTAACGTATGAGCGTAGTGTTCCAAGGGCTTCCAGAAATTAATGTCTCTCCTAAAAAATTAGACCATCGTAACTATTCTTATGCTTTTTGCACTGGTTAATTTCACAAGTATGTCTAAAAAGCTCCTTGTAAAGATTAAATGAGACACTAAATAGCATCTATTAAGATGCTTTTCTACTTAATTTCAGAACACTTATTTACCTGGAGAAAACATCTCTGGGAAAGAAAATAAAACGAGCAAAAAAATAAAAGGAAACCTTACGAGCATGCATTTCATGGATACTGAACCCAAGGACACAAAGTTTTCCAGCCCACTTGTGAGAAAAGTCACTTTTCACTTCCCGGAGCGCACCCGCAGCACCTTACCTGTGATGAGCACGGCTTTGTCACCCACGGGCAGCAGCACCCGGCCACCCCGGTACAGGGAGACGAGGCACCCAGCAGAGAACACCAGCAGCCCCCCGCCAGCACCCAGCGTGCCCACGCAGAGCATCCCCAGCAAGGCAGGCAGCAGGCTCCACGCCAGCGCCTTTGCTTTCTCCAACGGGCTCCTCTCGGCCGCGCAGAGCATGGTCACCCCAAAAAGCGCGGAGATGCCCGCGCACAGCCAGCCAAGGGTGCTGCCGGCAAGACCGTCCATCCGCAGGGCGAGAGGCAGGCTCACACACCCCACCTCCGGCTGGCCAAAAGCAGGTGTTGGTAAATGCAGAGCATGTTATATAGGAGCAGGGGGTGGGGCAGGGAATTTAAAGGTTTGACATAATCTCACTTACCCTTGGCATCAGCAAGAAGCAGAAGCTTTCCTTTTCTTACCTTTTACTCCTTTTGCCTGACAGCTCCACCTTCTGAGTAATACGCTGGCTGGATAATGATTGACAGCACCGGGAATGGACATGATGAAGCAAGCTCTGCCTCAGGAAAAAATTAACTGCTATATGTTTAAAGTACATTTTCCTAGATAGTGAAAAAAGGAGAGTTTCCTTTAGGGAAACTGCCTAAAAACTTAGTGTGTAGTTTGCGTGCAGCTGATTTTTGCTGGTCAGTGAGGAGAATGAGTCAGGACAGGGCTATTTCAGGGCTCTCTGTAGTGCTGTGTGGTTAGTGTTGGGCTTCATCACACATGGACCACATTCTTCTTTCAACAAGAAGCCCAAAACGGTTTTCCCTGCTTTAGTGCACACCTTTGGGTATTCACCTCCTCCACACTCGGGGAATACCTACAGCTAAGGGTGCCCAGGAATTGCTGGTTTGCTGTTCAGGGCAAGTCACTAAGAGAACACAGGTAACACACCTGAGGGGGAGTCTTCAGCTGACCTCCTGTGACAACGTTAACCTCGGTTTTGACAGGAATAACTGGTTCAATACCCACAGCAAGTTGGGGGTGCAGGGGGGAAAAGCAGTTGATTAACTATATTTGAGAGAGGTAAGACTGACTGTTGAGTACTCTGAAAGTTATTTTAACACTAAGAAAAGGATATTTTAAACCCATCCAGATAAAAGGATCGTAATACAATGTATATGTATTTAACCCGGTTTAAAAATCCCTGCTAATTGAGAGACAAACTGAAGTTTTCACACAAACAGCTAACACGATGTAGCTGGTTTTCTGAAAGAAAACATATGGCTGACCTATTTTATTTTAGACACACACCGAAAGATTGAAGCGCAGCGTGCAAGCCTAACATGAGGCACAAGAACATTTCCATTCCATTAGTCCTTTGGGGTTCCATGGGATGACAAATTCTGTTAAATTTAAATTTTTAGAGCTATTGAAAATGTTTAAATACCTCTGTAGGTAGTTTACAGTAGAGATGAGATCACTGTCTTAAAGGAACATTACCCATGAGGTCTGCTTGCCATTCATTAATGGTGCCCTCACACTAGGACACTAGTGCACACTGTGTAAACTGGTTTTGCTTCTCTGCCATTTGCTGCTTCTGTGTGTCTGTGATTCTATGAGCCTGCTTTTAGTAGCACACTGGTCTCGAGGTCAGATACACCTTGCCCTCCAATGAGGCTTTTTCTTAAAGATTGCCTTAGAGAATTTTGCTTTTTCTCCCTAATTGGTCCTTATTGCATGATTTAGGCGATCACAAAGGTGCTGGCATTTAAAGCAAACGCTCTCACACTTGACGATACAGTGAGCTGGAGTTTTTGCATCATGGGATGTGGGGTGGAAGTGACCACCTCCAGCCTGACGCCCACCCTGCCCTGTGGGGAGAGGACAGAGGTGGGCAAGGGGCCAAGCGTGGCAGCCACCATGCCTGGTCCCTGCAGAGCAATCTCCATCTGAGTCTCCCGCTCTGCTCCATGCTCCCCTGTCACGTCCCCCACTGAAAAGCATACATGCCCGTGCACACCCTCTCCCCCACGGACTGCTGGGGATGCCATATGCACACATTGTACACACGCCCGCTGCAACACGCTGCCACAACACCCATCTGCACACACAATGCTGCAGAACAACTCTGGGAAGGGCTGGTGGGGGCTGACCTCTGTCTGAATTCATGTTGATTTTATATTTTTAATATAAAATATAACAACTGAAGGTGTCTTTTAATGAACAGCTGACCATGTGTTCACCCTGGTGCATGAATAAAATCATATATAAGTGTACAGATCACACACACCATGAGCCAGGCTGCTATCAGAAAGGAAGGTACGATCTAAAGCTGGCTGAGAAACATTCACTTGGAGTACCACTTCATAAACCTTCTGCACTTTCTCTGACACCAGCAGAGACAGATTGCTGCTTGAGGATTTTTCAGCACAATTTTGCAACGAGACAAGTTTTACTGTCTCATGCCTGCTATCCATCTTAAGAAAGCCTCTACTTTCCTCTCTGCTGCTTTGGTATGTCTCCAGTTCTCACAGCTGGACATGAACACAGGATTGCAATTGTGTTTGCATTATTTCCCATTTCTCTATGCCATGCTATGAATACACACCCTCATCTCACCTCTGTCTTGATAGTTTTTCTGGAAAAGCTGTGGCTCCTCCAAATTATCACGATGTTGCATCAACATGACACCTGTGTTACAAGAAGGATGGATTTCAGCTAATTGATTTTGAGCTAAGCTTGACTTACCTTTGCCAGGACATTAGTCTTTCTTCCCAGCTTTTCAGAGCCATCCCACAATAACTCAGTGCCCTGTCACTTTATGCCCTGGCAATCTACATACTCTATACTGAACACCGTTGCTTCCCCAGTCAGCCCGTGCCCATGCCAAAGAGCAGCTGAGAAACGATTCAGACCAGCCTCCTGGCTGGCTGGTTGAATATCAGTGGAAACAATGGCAAAAGATGCCTTTCACAGAGAACAATCCTTCCACGGTAACCTGCAAATCGAATGGCCAGTCCTTCTGAATCTTTTGTCTCCAAATCCAGCTTGTTTTAATCCGGATTCTACAGTCTCAGCATCTTTCACCCTCTGTAGTGTCACTGCAGAAGACTGTCCCCAGGACAAAGCAAGGACACCTCTCCGATGTGTGGGATCTTTATCACGGGCATCCACTCCTTGGCCCCACATTCTCATTTTTTAGGCACAATCACTTCTTCCCAGTTATTAATTTACTTCCTTACCATTTGCTTAACTTTTGTCATCCCTTGCTGGCTCTGTATTTTTCAGCATGATGGCTGCAGCCTGTGCTTTTGATTTCTGTTCTTAACACAAAAAAGGACAGAAAGATCCAGTTCCACCACAAGGCCTTCAGCCTCTGCTACCTTTACCTGCATCATTTTCACTTCTTTAGCCACATGCTCATGTGTTTTCTTCACACTTTCCAGTAATTTGCTAGTCAACATTTTCCCTTTCAGCACTTCCCCTTTATCCAGAGGTACCATGTGCCGTGCTCAATAGTTGCTGTCCGTTGATGTTCTGTCCCAGCTGCAACATGAATTACATGGTCTAGAGCCAGGAACCATTTTTTCTACATGTCCAGTCTCTATCTTAACTTCCTCTGCCTCTGCCAGTCAGAGATTTGGTTTTCAGTTCAGGATAGAATTTCTCACAGGACTCTTCAGTTTTCCATTTTGCTATATTCTGTTTGCTCATTCAGGCTTTTTCAGTGGTGCAAAGCAGTGACTGTGAGAGTCCCTGCTCCGTGTGCTTCATGTGCTTTTGAGGCTTGTACAGGGGCTCTCAATTTCAAGTTCCGTAGGGAGGCTCTTGGCTACAAGGCTTTCCTTGGAAAACAATGTTGGCAGAAATTAGGTTGGAATCTCTTTCACCAAATGAGTCATTAACCAAGGCAGAAAAATTGTTCTCATGAGTAAATACAGAGATGAGCAGAAAAAATATGAAATTATTTACTTTGACCACAACTTATGACAGTACATAAACACCTTCACACACCTGGATTTGGATGGCTTTAATGGCTACACAACCACTTGTCAGGCTTTAAGTCCTGGGTGCAGAAGCTATCGAATTTGTATACACAAAACTCATGGACAGACTTTGCTCTTACAAATACTACTGAACTCCTGTGCAAAGGTTGAGATAATCCTATTCCTTCAGCCAGTTATCTACTCGTGCACTCAGCCTGAAGCACATTAATTGTCCCAGTAAAGGCAACAACTATGTCTGCCTAAAGCTAGGAATGTAGCCAAGTACCTTTTGTGAAATCTCTGAACTCACAGGCATGTACTGAATAAGGGCAAAAAAGGATTATGTGCAACTGAAAATAAAGCTGTGCAGCCTCTCCTTTGTCATCAAACTATTTCTTTAATAGACCCTGAGGGAAAACAATTCCTGTCAGAAAAAGTATGTGTCCATTAAAAAAAGTAAAAAGTACATTTTACCTCTAAGTTACTGAAGATTTTGTTTTCAGAAATATAGTAATTGTAAAGATTGTAAATGCAGAGATAGACAGTCATTCCTGAAGATCATTTGGCAGTGAAGAAACAGCTGTAGCTTACAATTTCTCAATATCCAATTCTGACAAAAGCTAGTAATAATAATAATAACAATTACTTCCTCAGCTAAATCTCCTGTTACTTTCTCAAGGGTAAGAACCTCAGAATGAGAAAATTCTGTATTGATGGCCAAACTGGATCTGTAAATGCTTTTGGCAGGAACCCATGCAACACACACCTTAGCATTATACAATCTTCGGAAGAAATAATTGCAGCCTGCATTTCCTATGTGATTCCAATGCCTGCATAGCTCTACTTTGCTCTGAAGCAGGAGGTCTCAAAATAACGCGCCGTATGAAACGAAGCCATGGGCTGCAAGTTCTGCCTTGGTATTTACATGAACCCTAATCACCCTTTTTAAATTTTCTGCAATAGACAAAACATCTTAAATCAGAGAAATCATTAAGATCATGAGCACTCCTTTGTATTTTCAAGGGAGGTTTTCTTCTCTAACTCTCCAGACATCTATGGATCTCTAGGATCTCAGGAACAGCTAAAAGGGATTGCAGTCTTTCCAAAATAAGTAATTTTTTATCCATTCAATTGTCATTATGTTCCAAAAAGAGGTTAGAATCAGAAAACCTAAAGGCAACTAGGTACTCTTTAGGAAGTTACCCAGGTTATTCCCATGAGAAATTACTTTTGCCTGCCTTTCTTCTGTCAGCAGATAACATGAAACGGCTTTCATAGAGCCATCAGTGTTAGAGAAGAAAAGGTAACAGTTTA